TTGTTAAAAGATTTTCGTGGAGACATTAAAACATAAAATTTTGACATTAATAATTTATCAAGCCTTAAATAGTGGTATTTTTTTTTTAAATTAGCTAAATATAGATATCAAGTTTTTAAACTAAGTATCAATATATTAGGTCCTATTTTTTTAAATAACATTTTTTGTCGTGAACAACTAAAAACTAGATGCCAATAATTAAACTAAGTTGGTAGATAATGTGGATTTTTATCTGTCAGTTGCTGATTTTTAACTGAGACTCACCGAATTGAGATTTTAATGATCGGTTACGGGAATAATTGCAGAAGTTGAAGGGGCAAACTTATTTAATCAGAGTTATCCTCAGTTACCTAATATTTCGAAGCTACCCGTTTCTAAAATTCGTGCACAATTCAAAAACTTGGCAAATGTCAGACCATTAACAAGGAATCCGCACTTCGTTAAAAATGATAAATATCATAGAAATATAACGTCAATTTCACGTCAAATTGCTCATCAAAATAATGTCAATCACTCAACTATCCTCAGGAGCCAACACGAAGAAAAACTTCATCCATGTAAATTAACTTTTGTGCAGGAGCTACCAGAAGAATGGATTTCTGCGAATGAATGATGAATAAACTGGATAGAACAAATCCTCATTGGATGCATGAGAAATATACTGAGTATTCTCAAATGGTAAACGTTAGGGCAGGTATCATAGGTGATCATATTATTGGTTCTATATATGTATATATTCAAGAATGATTAAAGCCGAAGTTGTTCCTGCGTTGGCCAACTTATATCCCAACGCAATAGATCCGAATGAAAATGCCTGATTCCAGTGTGACAGGGCAAAACCACCCCATTATGCTTTAATAGTAAAAACTTACTTCTCCAATAAAAGAATTGGACGAATAAGTACTATTGAGTGGCCAGCTAGGTCGCCAGACCAGACGTTCTTGGATTTTTCTGCCGCATTATACCAAGAACAAAGTATATGTAACATAGCCAACTAGCACCTCAGACCGCAGAGTCAGAATAACTACAGAAATACAGAATATTTCACCCCAAACTTTAAATAAAATTCGGGACTAGTTTTATAGGAAACTTGATCATTGCCAACAAAGTGGAGAACATTTTGAGCTTTCTTTTTTAATGCATGAAGAAAATTATAAATGATTTTACAATTTCACATTATATTATTTATAATAGAACCCACATAATAGAGTTTTTTGGAGACCAGTTTGTTAAGAAGCTGTTAAAAAAATAAAAATATACAGGGTATTTCATTAAAAATAAAGATTATGAGCATGTAAAATTTTTGTTTTATAAAGTGGAATTTGAAAGTTTTTTATAATTTTCTAATATAAGGATATTAACAAGTTCATTCCGTAAGTGGTTTTAACACGGTATATAATTGAATTAAATAAAGAACAATTGAATATATAAATTACAACCGAAAATAAATGCATCAATTGAATTACATCAAATTTATAATAAGGGGTAACCTTAATCTTAAATCCTTGGCATTCACATTCCTTACTTTTACAAGCACCTTTTCAAATTTCACTAAGTTTTTCTTTTTAGAAAATCAGCCTTTTTTCAATTTATTACAGTGATAGACATACACAATATATACTAAATGAGGGGCTAACAGAAAACATTAAAATGTGTAAGTATAAAAAAGATAAATATATGTATATGTGTATAAATAAAATTTTAGTGATATAAAGAGTTACGGTTAATATAAATTTAAAAAAGATAATGAGTTTAAAAACATTTTTATTAAATTAGTGGCTTTTCTACGGCTCAAATATAAAATACTGGTTTCTATAAACAATAATAGTCATAGCTAAAGAAATATTTTGACTAGTAGATGAAGCTTTTGAAGTCTTTCAAAAATAAACCTCATATACCGTAAAAACCCATAGGACATAATTTTTCGTAGAATTTTGGTTTTATATAAAGGTTAGCATGTCACATATCCTATTAAAACATGCAAAAAACCGCTTTCCAATAAATTTTAAAACGTTATACACAATAAAATTACATTTCAGCAACTTTTATTGCTTTGAATATAATAAAACACGATTTATTGTGAATATTAAGACTAATCAATATTAAATATGTGAAAATCAGTGTTATTCTAGAAAGATATGAAATTAACTTTGGCGGAGATACTTCAAGAGTATCGAATGAAGTCTTTACACGATTAGCAGTGATTCTGGTTTTGTAGACAACTGTCCAAACTCAAGAAGAAATCAACGCGTAAAAATTGAAAGGTTGGTTTTCAAAGATTGTGAGGTATAAAACTGAAAGCTTAAAACCGTAGCGACTGTAAACAATTTCTTTTTCGGAATAGTCGAGTGGTTTATTTGTAAGTTATTTATTTTTGCTAAACTGTTCTTAAAAATAAAACATGAAACATAAATTATGTTTCAGGACAACATGTTATACACCTGGTTTAACAAAACACTTATAACGGAATGAAAAAAATAAAATTTCGTACTATTCAAAAGCGAAAAGCACATCTGGCTCGAAGGACCAAATAATCAAAAAATCCGAAAGTAATATTTGTGAGGTCTGAATCAAAAGACTGTCAAAAATATCGGGTTCAATCCAATAAACTGTATCAAAAACTTCTACAAATAAACATCTAGAGCAGTTATAATAGAACGTATATTCTCATTGGAGATAGAAACTATATTTAGTTACTCTTTAGAAACTCTTTGTTATCTTTTATCAGAGCAACGATCACATTTATCGACAACGAATACAATAGCGTCTGTTTTTATTACGTTTTGCCTTGATGTATATAGCTAATCTTCAGATCTAACTTAAACTCGAGATCAACTCCTGGGTGAGAAGTGTGCAAAATCCGTTTTATAAAATTAGTTTCTGACTAATACACCCAAGGCGAAAAATGCCAATAAACGTCTTAGTTTTAATACATAAAATTAAGATATTAATCGCAAAATTCGAAACTTGAAAGCGCTTTTAGAAAAACAAAGTGAACATAATTGAAGACAGCAAGAGAAGCGGATCAGCACCAACGATGTATATACACTTATTTTTTATACAATATTTAGTTTGTTTTGTTCAGATTTTTTTTATGTTCTAATCTCAATTTTGACTGCATTTAGTTCTATTTGCAGATTTTTCCTCAGGCTATCGTACAACCGTACACCCAAAAATGGCACTTTTTTGATAACCTATTATCACATTTACACGTGGCATCATTACGTGCAACTTGCCCTACGTATCTAGAGTCAGAAGCAGGTAGGTAACTGCCATACACGGAAGATAAGGCTAATATTACAGATAATTTTATAAATTAGTTACATCAAAAAATGTGAAGAACGTACATGAAATGGTTTTAGTTGATCGGAAAGTGAAGGTGCGTGTATTAGCAGAGGTCTACTAATTAAATTTTAAACGAAATCTTAAATATGAAAAAATTGATGCCTGCAATGTTTGCTGATCATTGAACAAAAAATGATAGTGTGGCTACTTCTCAGTAGTGTTTGGACTTATGAAGCGTCGATTGGTAACTGTAGATAAAACCTGGATCCGCTACTACAGACCAGAGAACAGAATGAACACACGGTAGTAGACTGAAACCGGGAAAAGTGCTCTGAAGCGGCCAGGAGTGGCTCTCGGAACGTCAGAAAGATTATGGCCATTGTATTTTGGGATTGCAAAGAAATAATTTTAATTGACTATCTACAGTCAAGAGACGACAAGAACTCTAAATTAAGAAAAGTGTTGTTTTTTTAAGACAATTCACCGTTTCCAGTTGTGCTTCGAATTTTTTTCTTATCCGGCTTATTCTCCTAATTTGGCCCTTTCTGATTATTATTTGTCCCTTAATCTGAAAAGATGGCTCGTACATAAAAAATTCAGTTAGAAAGAATAGATAATTGATGCAACAACCTCCTATTTGGCAGAGCTTCCAGAATTGTTATATTCGGACGGCATAAAGAAGTTGGAACATCACTGGAATCGTGGTATTGGACTAAAAGACGACTATACCGAATAAAATAAAGACATTTCTGTAACGCCGTCTTTTTTATTTTAAAGAAAGTTATTTATCAGACCGCCTACTAGCTCATTTGTACTTCATTGAAATTATTTACCTGGGATCTAATTTTGAGAAGACGTTAGATTTGATAGAAGAGTAGAACTTGTTTGAGTTACGAGACACGATGCCATCGCTCGCTGTGTCGATTTGTTTTTTTAAGACTTGCGCAATAGATTCTTCAACATAATATGTAACATACTATGATATAATCGCTGTTAAAAGAAAATCAACGCTACACCCCTATATAAAAAAGAGATTGAAGTAATATAATGTCTTTGGGTTTTTAGGCAATACTAGTACTTTTAAACAAAGTTGCATTAATGAAATTTCTCGTATACTTTCAGACTTTAGTATTCATTTAATTTAAAAATAACGTTGTTTTACATTAGCCACTGGAATCATTGATTTATAATGTGTATGCTTATTTTTTATTAAAAGAATAAGTTATACCGGACGAAAGTTGTTAATATTAGTTTAGATATTTGTGCGTAATATTTGATATATACGTGGTAAAAATTTTAACACATAAAATATACAATATCGTTATCAGTATGGAAGATAGTTATTTTGTAAAACTGGTGGCTTTGAATAATTAAAAATTATTAAAAAAAAAACACTTGAAAAATTAACTACAACGTAAATTTATTATCTTATTTAACAATTAAAGCACTAAGCAACTGTATCAAAAATATGACACTTGCGTTATTTGTGGAACTATCAATTTTTATACTAGTAGTTAATTTACCATCCAAAATAACTGGCAGCCTTAGTGTAAAAAGGTAGATAATATTAAACAAAATGCTGTTGAAGATATCTAATACAAACAACGAAGAAGCAGTCAGTGCTTCAAATAAGGAGAGATCCACTATTTTAGTTAATAAACTTTCAAACGAATTTGTAAAAAATCGTAAAAAGCAAAATCGACAATATTAAAACTAAATAACCGCTTCAATGACGACAGTTTTAAAAAATAATTATTCCATATTTGATATGATGGTAATTGAAATCGATCTTAGTATTTTTACACCGGATACAACTGCTATCTGCTTAGGTTTATCAATGAATACCATTCACTGATTTCTTCCGTTAAATCTAAAGAACTCAGATCTAATTCTACACCACCCATAAACTCGTTTTCTTGTAAGGCATCGTAATTCCAGACGGTTGCCTGCAGTCTTCTCATTTTTATTATTTCTAACGACATCCGATATTCCAGCTAAAAAATATAAATTATCAATAACAATGATAACTACAAAGTAAGACAAATAGCACAGGTCAACAAAAAAAATTGTGTCTTATTTATGAAATATTTTCTGTTTGTACACATCGAAAGTTAAGCAGAAACTCCATAAATAATAAATAAAGTTTATTTTTGTACCTGTCTATATAATAAACCATAAATAATAATTAGGGGCCGTTGCATTTAAGATGTACGGGATAGGTCAGAGGGGAATGTGGGTGTGAAGCGGAAAGTAGAATACTCACACGACAGTGTGCGCGTGAGCATTGTATAGGAATATTGAATTTTATGTGTCACGAGGTTTAAAAATGTCTTCTGGCTTAAGGGGACAGTCTCATGCGATTAAAAAAAAAGAGACACATTTTAAAATTAAAGCAGAAAAAAAACTATAATATTTATTAACATAATTCCTTTTGGAGATGATTAAGTAAGTCTTGAAGTACATAAAAAAATTTTAATAGCGATTTTAACTTCATTGGTGTCCTGTAGATGGCGTGTAGTAAAAAGTGCGTTTTTGGTGGTAAGACACTTTGTGGGTCACCTGTAACAGATATTCAAAAAATTCAAAATGGGTTGTATTCGTGAGACTCAAAACTAGATGATAAACCTTTAAAATATGCAAATTGTATTATTTTGAAGAGTTTATACGAGTTTTTTCAAAAAAGTCGAAAAATCGCTATGTTTTTGGGTGGATTTACCCATATATAATAAAAGGGGGGGTGGTTTTTAAATATTTTAAAGGTTTATCATCTAGTCTTTTGTATATACATTCGAAAAATTTTTGGTTTTTTAAAATCGGTTAAGAAGGTTCGGAGAAAAGTGTCTGACCAGTTTGAAAATGTTACTTTTGAGAAAAAAGCATTTAAAGTTTTTTTTACATAATTTTCGTGAATTAAAGGCTGATAACTTTATACTCACGTTTAATCGGCCATTCCTGGTGAATATTGAGGTCCCTCTTCATCCAACAGTTGTTGTAAATGGCTTTGTAAAGCTTTTTTCTTTTTGATTTGATGTTTTATAATTAATTCATTAGTTCGACTGGAGTCTCAATTCACGCCGCGATGCTGACAGTGTAAGTGTAAAAACGGAACACACCTAGATCGCATGTCAATTTAACGAAAACGTATCTACTTATTTATAAATGTAGATATGAAAATATTTTATAACTAAAAAAATGGTTATGTTTTATTGCCAAAACGGCGTGAAAAAAAAGTTGATTTCTAAAATTAAAAATAAAAAGGAATTTTAAAAATAAAATAATTATATTACACTCTTTTTAATTTGAAATTATAAACAATATTTGGAATAATAAATGTATTTAAGTATAAATTTTATAACTTAAATAATACCTAATGAACACAAACAAAATTGATGTTAATAAAACATTATTTATTATCTGCACAAAACCGGACTTTCAGGAAAAATCGGTAGACGGAGCAACACTGTCGGCGTGCCATATACGCTACTACAAACCGCTGAGGAGAAGTAATAGTAATCCAGTGGAACAAATAAATTAGTTATAAAACATCGCGACGTTATAAAGAAATTTACACTGGTTAATTGCAACGCAGAGAATCTTAGTATTTGTAAAAAATCCTATGTTCCGGATTTTAAATTCCAAATGTGTATAGTAACTGCCAAACGTTATACAGATATACATACTATATAAAAATAAATCACTAATACATACCCAACGTATATACAACATATATACAAAAGCAAGAACAGCTGGAGCCTCGCGCTCGCCGCGCGGAGAGAAACCGGTTTTCATACGTGCGTATCTGACGTTAATAAAATAACTATAACTTATATTCTAGTGGGAATTTCTTTTTAAAATTTTAGGAGGGAGTTTTTGAATGTAAATGGAAGCGATTTATGTAAAAAAAATTTTTTTGATTTTTTGAAAGTTTCGCATGAGACTGTCCCCTTAAAAATATTCTGTAGCAGACAGCACCCTAATAGGGGTTATTATATTTTCAGCATTTAGTTTCTCATGTACCGTTGACCTGAAGATGCACAGCACATTTAGTATGCGAAACCGGTCTTTGGTAGTAGAAAAAATTGATTGTGAGTTATTTTCTTTTTACCAATTTATATAAAAATAATTCAATAAAATATTATGTTTGCTTCTAACGCCATCTGTTAAGGTATTAACAAAACATACGTTGTTTACTTCTGTAAAAATAATAATTGTATATATATATATATATATATATATATAATATATATATATATATATATATAATTATTTTAAAACAAGAAGTGTCATAAAAATGTAAATAGATGATTCAACATTGTTATTAATTTTATGATTTATGACTTTTAACTTTTGACAATCGTTACGAATCGAATGAATCGAATCTTTTATTAAAAGTTATTTTTTAAATTTTTTAAAAAAGGTATAAAGATATGTACTAAAATTTTAAAATAAGGAAAACAGTAAATTTCTACCTTACGAGAAAGCTTGGCAAAAATACTTAATCTAATACTTCTATGTACTTTAAAATATGTGTTATCTTACCATCTCCATAAAACTTGGATGACAATTTTTCTTGACAACTTTTGTCTTTCTTTTAGTACTTTTCTGTGCATCTGGCTGTAAGTACACCTTGACATACGTTGAAGGTTCTTGACTATTCGCTAGACGTGGCAAACCTCTCGCATGTTGAACCATAACACAGAATACTCCTTTTCTGTATTGTAACGATAATTTTAACTGGCCTTTGAGACGTCCTGATTCGTGGAAATCTCCAGTTCGGTCTAGAATAAAAAAAAAGTTAATTGTGGGCAAATACTGAAAACTCTTATAATATAAATTTAATTTCCTAATAGATTCAAAATAAATATGGAATAAACACTTTCTTTATCTCGGGTCAGATATAATGATCAAAAACATTTAACACTCTTTTTATCTTTTCATCAGCGTTTCATACAGACTGAAGGGTTACCCAAGTTATGATATCGATAAGGACACTCATTTTGAAAAAATAAGATGATCGTTTTATGACATTTATGGGTTTATAATGTTGAAAGATGCTGCATTGTGGACCATTATTAAGTAAGGTAGTCGAATTCGATTTTTAGTATATTTAGTATACCCTGGCAGCGACCCTACATACAACAACAAAGGGTGGGGTGACTATATTCTGGAATCTTGTCAAATGTATTTATTATATGTCCATTTCTCGGACTTCTACCTGTGTATTTAATAAAAGTAGCTTTACCTATTCTCACCAGTAGTAATATCCATCGTCTTTTAACTTGTATGTCATTATTTTTTGCTCTTTTCGGCTTATTCCTAATCTTCAGGCCTCTTCAAGGATGTGTTTTATAGATCTGTAGGATGTATGCATATGAATAAATGTTGTGAATGTTATTGATTGAGCAGTTATTAAATAGTTCTTTTCAGTTTTTGTTTACTTGATAGAGATGATGCCCACTGTAACTTTTAACTTCCTAAGACTAAGTATCATTATAAATTGTATTTGGGATGTCACAAAAACCGATCCTATTGCGTCAGTTAAATGCGAAATATTAGTGAAATATACTAGATTATTAACATATTGCTCATGAAGTTCAGTCTTGACAACTGTCAGCAATTTGATGGGTAGGTGCTAGATCTTTTTCTCACAATGTCTGACAAATATGCTGCCGAAAGAAGCACAAGAAGCATGGATAGTATTTTGCACACAGATGTTTCAATGCTTTGTTAAAATGTAGGTCCCCTTCGGAGAATGTTTTTGATAATAAAAGGGATTTTGAAAATTTTATGAAATCAAAGTATACCTTTTGCAGTTAAGCTTACGCAGTATACTTCTTTTGACATGTTTCAAGTTTAACGATACCAGGTTGTTTAGTATTTGTTTGGCAACCATCAATAGCGAATGGCGAAAATTGGTCATCGTTATGTGATATATTACTTTTATTTAAAAGACCAACTCCCACCAACTAATATAAAACTGAACTGGATTCTACTCCGGATGAGTCTGCTCCTTCAAAAAAAAAAAAGATTTTCCAACAAAGGAGAATTTTTCTACCGTTTCATAACTATGAATGAAACATTTTGGCTAAATATTTTGCAGACGAGACAAAAGAACAATCAAAACAATGGGCCCAAAAGGGAGAATTGGCTCCAAAGAACGTTAAACAAAACAATGGACCCAAAAGGGAGAACCGGCTTCAAAGAACGCTGTGACCTATATTGCAACGTTTGAGCGAATAAATCAAGCAAAAACGGTCGTATTTGGCTACAAAGAAACCTTTGTTTCATCAAAACAATCCACCAACTCAGATCCGTTATTGTTGTATCTAACATTTATGAATTACTATCTATTACTACTATTAATTTATGAATTGCTATCTCATGCACCCTATTCGCCAGATTTAGCCACCTCGGATAATTTTCTGTTAGCAAAACTTGAAAAAATGGCTCATAGTATTAAAAGCAATAGATTGCTATAAGAATATTAAAATTTATTAATTGACAAGTTTTCCAAAATCTATCAAATTAGAGAGATTTATGTTGTAAGTATAAGCAATTTTTCATATTTCCCATTTAATTAACATATTAGCAGTTTTGATACTGAAAAATTTAAAAGAAAACTTACCTTTTACTTTCTTTGAATACTCCTCCGAATATTGTTGATCCCTAAGTAACGGATGGAAAAATGTGTAGACTAAATCTGAATGAGCGATCTCATGAGCACATAAGAATAAAGATTTCACAAAAAGACTGATTTCATGAAAGCGTTTCTGAGCAACCTGTTTGATGTTTGAGCGACCCATATGTAAACCTGTTGATAAACTGAAACAAAATAATTGCAATAAATAAAGCAAGTTAAGAGATGGTTTTATAGAGAAATAAACAATGTATCATAAATGATGTATGTATCTCTTGTATTAGGGTATAAACAGAGTTAAACCAGATTTCCGTTTAGTGGCAATCAACTCCGATCTGCACTGTTTCTATACCTGCAAAAGCGAGAAAAATCCTTCAAATTTGTCAGTTGCGTTAACAAATTCTAGTAAAATGTCGTCTTCTGATGACGACATGATTACTTTGGAATATGTTTTGACTAAACTGAAAAGAAAGAGATTTGTGTTGTAAAACAACCTATTTATAATATTGTAATATGTTCTTAAATACGTTAAGTATTTCACAACAAGTAGCGAAGACTGCTTTATCAAAGCGGCAGGATGGAGGCATGGTTTAACGAGATCTTAGGGGCACTCATGAGCCAAGTAATAAGACAAGACAAACAATTATTGATTCTGTGGTATCATATATTTCATCTTTTCCGAAATATGAGTGTCACTACAATCGGGAAATGTCCAACAAGAATTATTTGTGGCCTGATTTAAAGTTGAAAAAATGTATAAATTATACAAATAGGAAAAAACAGAGAATAAGGATGCTAGTGAAGTCATAGCAAAGTCCTGGCTGTATCGTGATGTATTTAATAAGCAATTTAATTTAACATTTAAACATCTAGATGGCGTAGTTACGTCTGTATATAGTTATTCTTGATAACTGTGGTCTACGACGGAAATAGATTTTGTTTCGATACGGAGTAGTGGCTATATCGTTCTGAGGAGACCTAAAGAGATCGAAATACGTATAAGCGGCTTGTCGCTGCTCTGTATCGAATCAAAATCTAGTACCGTCATTATGTTTTATGATTTAAAAAAGATTTTATATTTCACTTTAGGGCGCATCTCAAATTAAAGAATTCTAACCGGAAAACGAATGTTAGCGGCATTTTCGTTGAAGTAATTGTGTGTCTTTCATGGTTGTGTCTTGAGACAACTTATTGGAGTGTGAGATGAGCAGGCGCGATACACAAGAGCGCAAACCAACAACGCAGAGGACGCTGAAGAAATAAAATTTATGAGTGGAAATGTCCACAAAACCAATATGTAGTGAAGAAGGTTGAAATCTGAAATTTATTATGGCGATTTAGTCAAGGAAGGAGATTATGGATTGTAAAATAAGTAAAGGTTTAGATATAAATTAGGAATGAGTCAGTATAAATGTATAAAGGTTGGATATATAAGGAAGTACTAATGGGGAATAAAAAGAAGGTTGATAGGTAGCTGGGATGTGATGATAAATGATCAAAGGAAACGGAGATGAAACAGTCTGGAGGCAAAAGAACGTCGAAAAATTCCTCATTTGATGTTGGAAAGCAAATGCCGGCGAGTTAACGAACAATATAAGATATGCCGACGACACGGTAATCCTTGCTATACTACGTTCCACGTTTAGAAAATAACATTGCGAAGATAGGGCCATGTATTTCTTATGGACGATAGCAACGCGGCGTTGCCACGACACACACAAGCACAATTTAGGGTTGTATAATTTGTATTTTCGTTTCCACAAACATGAATTAAATTAATGTTTTTTAACGTAATTGACCAAAAGTGCCCATTCGAAACAAGAGATGAAAAGTAGGGAAAATGATTTTAATTAGATAAATAGTATTTACAAAAGATAATTTTATTTTATCTTATTTTAATTATAGTAACGACAGTTTATTTGTTTTTCGGTGAGAATACGATATGCCATGAATCATATAAATCAGTAGAAAATATTGACCGCTTGGAATGCGTATATCTAATTACTAATTGCAACTTAAAATAATACGATGTGCGTATGTCAGCTATTTTATGTCGTCTCTGACTACATAATGATAATAAGGCTTTTATTTAGTAGTTATTCTGACTTTACAGTTAAATATTAATTGAAAATGAAAATTCAAAAATTAAGCAAAGGGAATATCTTGGACATCCGTGCAAAAGAGAGTGTCTGAGAGTTTTGGCAACACTGATCTCCATAAGCGTAATGTTATTTTCTTAACGTGAAACAAAGAATAGTACCATAGACGAATTACAACAGGTAATGGAAATAGTTTATTCAGTTAGTGAGGTATACGGCCTGAGCCTCAACTTCAAAAAGACAAAGTGGATGCTGCTAAGCAAAAAGCAACAATCTGCTCGACAATTACGGATAAGTAACATACTAATTGACCATGTAGAATCTTATGTGTACCTTGGCACCAACGTAAATGCAAAATGGGAACAGACCACAGAAATTAAGGCGAGAATAGAACGAGCTAGAGCAGCATTTAGCAATATGAAAAAGCTCCTCATAAGCAAGGATTTGTCTCTTTCCCTAAAACTACGTCTAGTTAAATGCTACATTTTTCCGATCTTACTGTATGGTGTGGAGGCCTGGACGCTGACAGAGACGCTCACGAGAAAACTAGAAGCATTCGAAATGTGGGTGTACCGACGCATTCTTCGTATATCCTGGACCGAACATGTCACCAACATAGAGGTACTCCAAAGAATCGGAAAGGAGAAAGAAATCGTGAATACAATTAAACAAAGAAAGCTTGAATATCTAGGCCACATATTGAGACACGATAAGTACCGTTTGCTGCAATTGATTGTCCAGGGAAAAATAGACAGTAAGCGAGGGCCAGGCAGGAGAAGACACTCGTGGCTCCAAAATCTGCGGAAGTGGTTCGGGCTCACATCGGTCGAACTATTCAGAAGCGCCGCAAACAAGATCAGAATTGCCATGTTAATAGCCAACGTTCGCAACGGACAGGGCACTTGAAAAAGAACAAGAAGAAAATGCCGGTAACTTGACATTCGTTTTCCGGTTAGAATTCTTTAATTTGAGATGCGCCCTAAAGTAAAGTATAAAATATTTTTTAAATGTTAACTTTGTTATAACAACAGCTCTGTGCCGGTGTGTTTTGTCAACTTTTTGTTTTTATCTCTACACTTTACTGTTTAAAAGTTTTTTACGTGCAATGTGACGGGTTTTTATAGTGCTTCGTAGTAGTTTTTATTCATTTCTTTCACTTTTAAAGTAAACTTTTTCTCATTGTTATACATGAATGCTACTACATATGAACATTTAAGCTACTATTTTAACGCCACCCTTGTAATATTTTGACCACGGTTACCAAGAGAATGGTGTGTTTGTTTTACACCTTATCATTCTTCACTCACCATTCGTAATTTCTTTTTTCATGTTTTATATTCTTGCCTACCACCATTGTATTCTTTTAGATTGAACTGATGAAGCTTGTAAATACAATAAGCGAAACGTCTTCAAATATAGGAATGGAACTGTGATTTCCTTTTATTATTTCTCCTTTGACCGATATCCTCGTGACCAAAAGATTTAGTTCTTTTGGAACTTACTCATTGTATATATATATATATATATATATATATATATTATATATAATATATATATATATAATCGGAAAAAGGAGTACGACCGTCAATCCAATATATATATATAAGGATCACTCAGACGAGTGGTGGGTTCTTATATCGGTCTCTAGGTGGAGAAATAAAAGACAAAGTTGATAGGCTACTTTATCTATTTTGAAGACGTTTCGCTTTCGAGTTTTGAAAGCATCATCAGTTCATCTAAAAAATTTTACAATATGAGAACCACACAATCATGGAAACGATGTTAATTGTTACCTTAAAAAGACATGTAGCAGTCAATGTTATTAACAATAATGTGAATGAAACTAAGTAAATGGACATAATACGCTGATTTTGTATAAACAGTTAAGTAACTAACAACATATATGAACTTATAAAAATTAGCACAGCAAATGACCATGTGGTCTAAAGTAAATTCAATGTTATTTAATGTTAATTAGTGAGCAAGAACCAAGAAAATCATAGATAACTTCCAACTATTTAATGAATATTAAGCTTTGATTTTAACTTTAGGTAGCATTATAAGTGATATTAATAAAATTTTAAAAAGTAGTATAAATGAAGTTACCGATCAAAGCCCTATGAATGTCGCCGGGAAAATGGCGTTAAATGAAACAGGAACGAACTAAACCGCGAAAAGACAGCCAACCTTGAGGTCAAAAATACTTTCGACAGATCAACAAGGTGTAGGTACCAACCCAAATTTTGGGCGGTCAATTTAAGTTTAAATGAGTTTGGATGACTACCCGGTTGTAAAAGACAACACAGTGAAAAAAGTTGGTAGTGTAATAGCAACTCCCCTCACTAATCAGTCCAGATTTACAAACAGGAGATTTTCATTCAACCTCATAAGTATGTAATAACGTTAATCATTATGGCTAGTTAAACAGCCACAGGTGGTTAACGATTCATTAATTTCCAAACAGCCCAAGGTTCAATATACTTGGAACTGTGATTTGCAAAGGATTCTATGAATCAATTACAATATTTGTATTATTTCAGTATAAAATTGTTAACACTAATCAAAGTAATCAGTGTATGGAAATGCAATGTAAGTTGCATATGTAATAGTAAATTAAGTAAAGAATATTAAGTTATTTTATTGAGATATTTATGTATTTTATTTCTATTTTATGTATATAAATTATTTTATGAAAAATGGAAAAAGGTTCAAATAGTACACCTAATATGACATTAATGTAGTGAAAAGATCAAGTAGCCTAATTCTGCAAAATTAAAGCATGATATATTTGGCTCAAGTTACTTATGTCAGTTCTCTTATTCAAAGCATTAGGGTGTGTTTTAATATTGAACACATTTCTACTGTAGATCATTAAGTACACTACATCGTAGTGACATTAATTTATCGAAACACACTTGTGCCCTAGCACAACACGCGATAAATACAAAACATGAAGTGGATTTCAATGAAGTTAAGATCCTTGCCACTGAACGCAATCTAGCTAAAAGACAGTTTTTGGAAATGTGTTCAATATTAAAACACCCTAATGCTTTGAATAAGAGAACTGACATAAGTAACTTGAGCCA